ACTTAGAAGCATTAATGCTGATACTGGCACTTAAAAGTTTTACTTTATAAACCTAAGTATAATTGTTAACTAGGCCTAAAAACTTATTAACTTTAATTAGATTTTTACTTTTATTCTTGACTTGTTAACTTTTTTTTCAACTTAATTAACAGTGGGTAATATATCATTCAAGGGCTCATCTAATTGGTCAAATGCCAAAATAAGATGTACAGCCATGGAGCAGCATCTTTGCTGAATGGCTGGATATAGATCTTCTGCTTCTAGACCTCACCGAGAGACGCCGGGGTGGGGGGTGGGGGGGGACTCTATTTGCAGAGGTGTAAAGTACAACAAATACTTTGTTACTGTACTTAAGTACACTTTTTAGGTATCTATACTTACTCCATTACTTATTTTTCCTCCTACGTCTGACTTCTACTCATGACATTTTCATACAAGTATCTGTACTTTCTATTCCTTACATTTTTAAAACAAATGTTACTCGTTACTCTTGCCGTCGGTTTAATGTTTATAAATATTTATTTCCCGTCATGTGCTCCATCCAATGCAGATCATTGGCGCCATCCACATCTAGTGAAAACTAGAGTAATTGGATGAGTCATATAACGCAAACACTCATTGGTTGGCTAAAGGAAACCATCAGAAGCAAGCAGGTGTTCTTCAAACTGCAAACGTGAATTGTCTATGCCATGCTACAATGTGGGATTCAGACAAAGATGTAGAAATGTCTGAAAGGTTGGAAACAGGCGAGAGCGTATCGGGAGACGGAGACAAACAGGACCTCCCTCATCCTTGGCCCTATCTCAAAGAATTTTTAGAAATAGTAAAAAAAAAAAGAGCTTTCAGTTCATATAGTGGCATCTGGATGTTTTTTTAAAGGTTACTTTATACTTTTATACTTTAAGTAGTTTTTGGAGCCCATACTTTTTCACTTTTACTTGAGTAAAGAGGTCAAGTTGATACTTCAACTTTCACCAGAGTGTTTTTAAACTGCAGTATCTATACTTCTACTGAAGTAACAAATGTATGTAGTTTTGACACCACTGTCCATTTTTAAGGGGTATGCAAGTGATCAAAAATGGTAAGTTGCCCTTTAAAAGGTTAAACTAAACAACATGTAACACAATGTAAAAAAAAAAAAAACAAGACCGTGAAAGTTTGATCACAACTTCGATCAACCAACTTGTACATTTGAGCATTTTAAACAATTAATGTAAACTAACCAAACTTTAAACTAACTTTTGCACAGTTTGGTTTCTATCAGATCACCATATGTCACATTAACTCTAACGTTTCTTATTATATTACATAGCTGGAAAAAAGTATCTGTGACGAACAGGAATGAATAGAAGTAGCTTGTTCTTAGTTGAGCCCTTTAGCACTGCTTCTTCCCCTCAGGTTGTTTTTAACAACTCACTCCGTTCCCCCATTCAAACTTTCTCCGAACCAATCAGAATGTCTGAAAGGCAGGCTGTGTGTAGGTGTGTCCTATCAGAGACGTAAATAGCGCTGACTTCGACCAGCCAATAGCGCAAAGCGCTGGCCACCGCTACGCCTGTCTCTACCCAATCCGCCCCGGAAGCACGATCCGTCCTGCACATGCGTGATATGGATAGATATACATCCGGGTGTCCATAAATAATGGAAATATGGTAGTAAAACTACTTATTTCTATCCTTAACTCACTAAAGAATACTAATACACATCTTTAAATAAACATTTTATGACTTTTGTGAGACAATTTTGATGCTTTTTACATTTTCTTCCTCAGAAAATGCTCAGAGCTGAGAGCAGTCCGGCAAAATTTAATTAAACCATGTTTATCTACATGATTTAGATGATGCGCTAAATAGCATAAGGTTAAAACGACATGAAAATATAACTCTCAAAAAGTCTTGATTTATGTGTAAAACCAAAGCCGAAAAAGTTAGCCACTGGAAGTAGCGTAGGATCACATTTCCGGTGCAGATCGGGAAGAGACGAGTGATAAAACAGAAGGATTTTAAAGCAATTATTCTCTCAGGATATACATTATTAACCTTCAACATATTATATTTAAGTACATTTACAATTTTTGGGGAGGGAAAACGTCATTTAGGTCTTTTTAACAAAATAAATTTGATGCGCAAATGAGCTGATGGCTCATTGGCAGGACGGATGGTGCTTCGGGGACGGATCGGGTAGTGATAATGTCTAAAGAGAAATGCAGCCCCGTGCTCAAAGTCAGAGGGACGTAGAATCCAAGTTTAGGTGTTTGTATTGGAACATGAAGTAAATCAGCCTAATGCTGCGATAAAAATCTTTTACAGTGTAACTAAGTATCCTAAAAAAACTGCAACTAAAGAGTTTAGACTGATGTCAAAACTTGGCATCATCTTTAAAAAACATGTACGGTTCATTTTCTATTTCACTTAAACCATTGCCCTTAAAAGGACCATTTGAACCAATGCTAATTGCAAATGAGTATTTCATCACCTGTTGATCACCTGTTTTCCATCGAATTTAACCACGATAAATGATTGTCCTTTAAAGCAGCGGTCCCCAACCCAAGCCGGTCCCATCTAGGCGTAATCGGAGGCAATGACACACGAAGTGTGCTCCTGATGTCCAGTTTGCTCCGTAGTTTTGTTTAGGTTGCTGTAACCGCAGAAAATCCCGCTTCACAAAGATAGGATGTTATAGATAGGATGAGTCTTGAACTGAATTAACCTGTGTCAAGAGGCACAGATGCACCGACTGATGTATTTGGGAGAGAATACCGCAATTTTTTATATTTTTCAAAATAAAACATCACTCAGACTCTGATCGTCGATAAATTATATACACTCACCGGCCACTTTATTAGGTACACCTGTCCAACTGCTCGTTAACACTTAATTTCTAAGCAGCCAATCACATGGCGGCAACTCAGTGCATTTAGGCATGTAGACATGGTCAAGACAATCTCCTGCAGTTCAAACCGAGCATCAGTATGGGGAAGAAAGGTGATTTGAGTGACTTTGAACGTGGCATGATTGTTGGTGCCAGAAGGGCTGGTCTGAGTATTTCAGAAACTGCTGATCTACTGGGATTTTCACGCACAACCATCTCTAGGGTTTACAGAGAATGGTCCGAAAAAGAAAAAACATCCAGTGAGCGGCAGTTCTGTGGGCGGAAATGCCTTGTTGATGCCAGAGGTCAGAGGAGAATGGCCAGACTGGTTGGAGCTGATAGAAGGGCAACAGTGACTCAAATAACCACCCATTACAACCAAGGTGGGCAGAAGAGCATCTCTGAACGCACAGTACGTCGAACTTTGAGGCAGATGGGCTACAGCAGCAGAAGACCACACCGGGTGCCACTCCTTTCAGCTAAGAACAGGAAACTGAGGCTACAATTTGCACAAGCTCATCGAAATTGGACAATAGAAGATTGGAAAAACGTTGCCTGTTCTGATGAGTCTCGATTTCTGCTGCGACATTCGGATGGTAGGGTCAGAATTTGGCGTCTACAACATGAAAGCATGGATCCATCCTGCCTTGTATCAACGGTTCAGGCTGGTGGTGTCATGGTGTGGGGAATATTTTCTTGGCACTCTTTGGGCCCCTTGGTACCAATTGAGCATTGTTGCAACGCCACAGCCTACCTGAGTATTGTTGCTGACCATGTCCATCCCTTTATGACCACAATGTACCCAACTTCTGATGGCTGCTTTCAGCAGGATAATGCGCCATCTCATAAAGCTGGAATCATCTCAGACTGGTTTCTTGAACATGGCAATGAGTTCACTGCACTCAAATGGCCTCCATAGTCACCAGATCTCAATCCAATAGAGCATCTTTGGGATGTGGTGGAACGGGAGATTCGCATCATGGATGTGCAGCCGACAAATCTGCGGCAACTGTGTGATGCCATCATGTCAATATGGACCAAACTCCCTGAGGAATGCTTCTAGCACCTTGTTGAATCTATGCCACCAAGAATTGAGGCAGTTCTGAAGGCAAAAGGGGGTACAACCCGTTACTAGCATGGGGTACCTAATAAAGTGGCCGGTGAGTGTATATATATATATATATATATATATATATATATATATATATATATATATATATATATATATATATATATATATATAAATATATATATATTTTTTTTTTTTTTTCTGTGCGGCCCTGTACCAAATGACCGGTACGTGGCCTGGTGGTTGGGGACCGCTGCTTTAAAGAATACCCTTTAAACCACAAAAGTTAATAAGAATCCTAAACTCTTTGATTGTAACAGGTGTCAACTGTAAAAGTTAAGCAATAAAAGCCTTTAATTCTTTTTGTGATGCCATAAACCCATCCCTTTGATGGTATGATGATATAAAGGTTATAATACTACTTGTTAAATAGATAAAATAAATCAATGTATGTATGGACCACAATTTTCAAAAGTTAGCTCACAGCTTCAGTTAATCCAGCGAGAAACCAGCAGCTAGGCTTTTAACCTGGGTGAGTCTTCACTACGCTCAGACCTGAATCTTCAGAGGCGCATAAAGACAGTAGCAAACTTCTATCACTTTAAAGGACTATTTTTTTCCCAACAGGTGGTCTAAAGAGTTCATCTTTAGTAAAATTGAAACAGTCAAGATCCTCGAAAAATTGTCTGTATGTCTAACAGAACTGATGCTGTTTTAAAAACAAACTGACTCCAATTAATTTTATAAAAAATGAGCAGTTATAATCAAAACAATCTTACATTTGTTTTTGGTCCATTCTATAAAGCCTCGAACTTAACGCTATTTCTGATATTTTGAATTGAAAAAGCTTCCTGGATGGGAAAGGAAATGTCTTCAAACTAGGAAGCAAAGTCCAGTGGATTGTTTTTTAACTTTTATGGAATGACTATGACCTGGATGACTGAGAATCTTCACCAACAATCGTACTTTTACCTCATATACTCAGTTTTTGGATCAGTGAAACAGGTTGGATAGTAATCTAAATTAAATTAAAAGATTTAACAGCAACATATATGTTTTTTACATGTTCCAGATCATTACATCAACCCCTCTGGGAGTGAGGGACACCAATGGTGGAAGTTCTATGGTGAGTAAAACCTAAAAAAGCTGAATATTTTATTTATAGGTCAAAAATCTTTAAATGAATTCGTAACTCCTGATTTTCTGCAGACCAAACATCAAAATCATCAACCTCTTTCAGTCAACTCCAACATCAAGGGGAAGAACAGGATAACGGGCAAGGACGGTTTAAAACTAGACCAGAAAGCTCAGCTTTTAGTGGAAAAGCTGCAGAAAATCTCCCTGTCAACAGAAAAGGTCGCCAACCATTTTCCAAAAGCATACAAAACACGATCGCCGACTTACAACCGAGAAAAGTCGCAAACATTGCGTAGAGGCATCGCAGATGTAGGGAGTGTGACTGCAGAGGTTGCGAGGAGAGCAGCTGAACCACGAAGCCGGGAGGAGATTTCTGAAGTACCAGATGGGAACCAATCATTGGAGAGCAGATCTACGAATCCTTGTAAACTAGAAACACCAAACCTCAAGACCGAAGAGCATCTCAGTCAAGAGGAATGGGAATCCAATTGTGAAGAAATAGGGAGATCTGTTTGTAAAATCATTGTGGATGGTGTGTGTCAGGGAACAGGTTTTGTTCTCGTCGATAGGCTAATCATGACAAGTGCACATCTGTTCAGAGATCCTGAGGATTTAAATAAGCTGCTGGTTCCCAAAGAGGTCAATGTTGTCTTTGACCAAAAAACCAACAAGAGAAAACCTCATCCTGGACCAGGTGATGGGGGCAGTGACCCGGTTCTGGATGAAGCAGGAGACGAGGAGGAAACCAGCATGCTTTGCTTTACTGTGGAGGAAACATTTGTTGATATTGATATAATGCTGGATTACGCGGTCCTTGCACTCATACCTAAAGGCCAAGGAGCAAAGCAACCCCAAGTACCACCAGGTCTCCTAAGGAGATTCGGACCAGTGCTGGGGAGTGGGGATATCTGTATCATCGGGTATCCTTACGGAGGAGAGAAGACTTTTAAATACACATCTATAATTAACAAAGAAAATAGGGAGAAGGTTAAGGAAGAGCATTTAGCTCAATACAAAGGCTTGATTATCACAGAGAATTCTGTCAGATTTATTGCAGAGAACCAAGGATTTAATGACATAATAATGGGTGGATTCAAAGCAAACCAGGTGACAACTTATTGTTCTTCCATGTACGAAGGAACATCAGGCTCTCCGGTTACCGGTAGGAACGGGCGCCAGGGCACAGTTATAGCGAAGCACGTTGGCGGGTATGGCTATGGGTTTCCAAAGATTACAAGGAGCGTGATTGAGTTTGCCCATCCACTGATCACCATATTTAAAAAGCTTGTGGATAATCTAAAGGAAAATGGAAAAGAGCAATGGCTGGATAAAGTCAGGTTGGAGGTGCAGAAAAACTTCCACCTTAAAAAGTTAATTAAATAGTTTATTTGAGTCGATAAGAAAGCACTGAAAGCAGACTTCTGAAGAAAAGCTGTCTGCTAACTCAACAAGCAGAGTTAGATACTATTTCTGTCAGGTCTAAGCACCTAAAACATCATACATGCATACAGGGAAAGAAAGAAGGCACAGGGACAATTAATTTAGTTACTCGCGAGGAGAATAGGAAGGAGACTGCAGAGTTTACAATCTCCACCCCACTCTGCAGTCTTCAGCTTTCTCCTTGCTATTTATTGAAGAAAAGGGGATGTCCCTAATTACATCAGCTGAGGTTTAATTAAAGGGAAAGGGAAACAAAAGGAACTTACTTTAAACCTCAGCACATATGTTAACACAAAGCATGTGGTTGTTTTACAATTTAATTGTTCCAAGAACACATGTTTAGAAGAAACAAGTGATAGAAGATGTTCAGGCCTCCTTCACAACCCGTCCGTTGCATGACCTTTATCTGGAAAAATCTTAAGCAAGAGTTAATAAAAGATGAATCACACATTATACATCATTATAGTTCATTAGAACACAACCCATAAAACACAAAGTATAAATAAAATATTTCTAACAATTTCCAACACTTTTTCTATTATATTCATGGGAAATTAATCATGCATATCATGCCCATAATACTGTTCAAGTCCTCCAACAATTAAAAACTATCATAGAGGTATAGGAACAGAAAGTATATACCAAAATAGGATAGGATAATACATTTACATTTCAAAGGACTAGTTTGTCCAAATTATATTTTTCAATGTTTTATTGTGGTTAAATTTGACTTTGTTTTGAAGCCAACATTTGACCAGCAAGGATATGAATTCAGTGTTTAATTAACATAGACCATATAAGTCTAGTTACAGTTTTAGATATCCCCAATTATATATCTGTACAAGATATGTCATTTTATTTTATAAAATTTCCTAATAGGTACTGATGGACATCCCTAAAATTGCTGGGATCAGCTACCATTGTGAAGAGTATCATGAAACTTTAACGCTTTCTTTTACAGTACACCAGTGGTGTAGTCTATGTGATATGCGGGTATATACGCTGTATACCCACTAGAAAAGCTTGTGAATTTCCGTATAACCACTTAAAAGTGCCCAATAATGCTGCGTTCACACCGGACGCAGCAGGAGCAGCGTGTTTACATGCAAAGTCAATGGTTGACGTGCGTCAAGGCGCAGCAAAAGGTCCCGAAGCGCGTTGAGTTTATTACTTTAATTTTTCTGTAGTTGAGTTAGCATTAGCTTGCGTGACCAGCTCTGTGATGCTGGTTTTCCTTCAGTATGAGCGCCACAAGCGTCACGTGACTAAGGAAATGTAACGGGATTGGCTGGGTGTTGGACGCCACAATCCATTGCTAATGTCTGTGACCTGAAGTAACCCTTCCCTTTTTACACTGAATTTAGACGCCGAATTTAAGACAGTGAAATAGAGCCAGTTGAATCTCAGGAGGCTGAAAATATTGAGTTTGAATTTTGAAAGGTTGAATTTTTTTATATGCAGATATTTTTAACACTGAAAAATTAAACTGAAAAATAAGTATTGAAAATGTATTCACTTTGAAATAGTAATGTGAATTTTTAGCTTGAAGAGAAAATAACAAATTAAATTTCAACTGTGTAGAAATGATGACAATAAAAATTTTTTTTTAGGTCCAAAATGTGTTCTGAATATATTTTAAGACTGAAACTGTAAGTACAAACATACAACATTTAAATTTCAGTGGCATTTTTAATTCAAATCCCAGCGACACAGATTTACTTCCATACTTGATGCGCATCGACCATTGACTTTGCATGTAATTTAGCTGCTTCTGCTGCCTCTGCTGCTTGTGGTGTGAACGTAGCATAAGTGGTGCACTTGCCCGCTCTGGTCCCGTACTGTTTGCTAGCCAGTTGCTAGGCTAGGTCTGCTAATGTTAATCAGGGGTAGAATAGTTAAATGACCGATTAAGAAAACAAGCACCAACATCTATGTGGCTTCTGAGCCTCTTGGCTGCTTTAGTTTGGCACCAAGTCTCTAAAGCTTGACAGATTTTCCACCTTGTTTTGTTTCTTTTATGTTTTCTTGGCTTGAATGTGAGAAATGTTACACAGAGCAGAAGCCATTTCTCACCTTTCATATAGCTGTTACTACCTGAGCTGAATAACATGGCGTTAACCTACTGTTTTATTGGTTCTTTTCTAATGCACTGACATCATGACCAGAAGTATATATATATTTTAGAGCCATCAAATTGATAGAACAGTGCTTATATGCTGTATATATTTTTTTCTAATAAAATTAGTACTTTTGCAGCATTTAAGTCAATCTGTTTGTACTATTTGTGAAATTTTTATTTTTTGATAAAAAAAAAAAAAAAGCTGTAGCTATGACCTTTAAATAAATAATTTATTGGATTTTATAATATATTATGATTCTATGACGGAGTATTTGGGCCAGGCTGAAAAATGTATTATTATTTTTTTTTTAGATTAAAGTAATATTACAAGAATAAAGTTGTAAAGTAATAAAGTGAAAAAATAACGAGAATGAAGTCGTCATACATCAGCTCGTTTCAGAAAGAAAGCTTGGAGCTCCGACCAGCTCCACCAATCAACAACCTGAGTCCACTTTGACCTGATTCCCAATTTGATTCTGCTGCTTAAATATTTCCTTATTTGTCAAACCGATGCCAAAGTATAACTTCACATGATGCTCAAAATCCTCATTTTAGGGAAGAAAGTGCTTTATGCTCGTAATGTTGAGTCTTGTAATTTTATGACTTCATTTTTGTGATGTTATGATTTTATTCTTGTAATTTTACAACTTTTTTCTTATAATTTTTTTACTTTTGTTGCGAATTTTGTTCTCGTAATTTTATTACTTTATTCTCATATTAAGACTTCTCGGAAAAAAAAAAAAAAAAATCTGTAATCTGTCCCTAATATTCCGTCGTATGATTCTTTACAGTTCTTTTATAATATGATTTTATGTAACAAATTGTCCTAAAGCAATGAAATAACTATTATTCCAATGCTTCACTAATAGTCTAAGGATTATTAGTAGATATAATGCTTCAAACAACATGTTATAGTTTGAAACAGATAATGTGACAGATTGTCTGCAGCTTTCAGCAGGTTATTCCCCTCAGCAGCCTCTTCTCTGATTGTAGTCATAGTATCATAACATTCTGTTCTGTTTTTTTTTAAAGTACATGAATTTGATATGCATTTTTTTATCTTAAACTTGTATGTTTTATTTTGGAAATGTTCTTAATTGGCTAGTTTTAACAAAACCACTCAGGTCTTCTGGGAATGTAGAGCATAAAGTGTTTAATAGCTTAAAAACCTTTTGGTTTAGAGTCGCCTTTGACTGTTATCTGAAACATAGTTTTTAAGTTTGTTGTCCTGCTTTTACCTGCATCTATTATGCCAATGTGATGTACTTTTCTCAGATTTTTTTTATTTTCTTATGCTTTGTTTAATGTACCACACTTTGAATAATCTTTAATGTACAAATAAACTTTCTGCGGTTTAAAACGTTATAATTTCCATTGATGGGTAAGAATTGTCTCTTTGCCTCTTGATGTTCTGTTTGTATTTTCTTTTTTTCTATTAAACACTATTTGAGATTAGTTAACCAAACTATTTAATTGGGAAAGTTATGATGGATTATCAGATTAACAGGTTCAGGTTCTATGAAGTAAAGGGTGAAGCAGAGGTCTCCAATTGAAGCTTTTAAGATGCGTTCACATCAAAAGCCAACAAGGCGAGGGAGGCAAATTATTTACATCTTATTCCAATATAAAAGTAATAAGGAGTAAATCAATGGGCAGTAATTAAAAAAAATTGTTTTGTCAGATATCAAAGCTGCAAATTGCATATAGAAAGAAGCAATAAAGCCTGTAAGCATGGGGAGCAAATTTTCTCAGAGACAAAGCTGTTTTATGTCATGTTAAATTATGTGGTCAAAATGCTGTTTTCTCTAAGTAGATGAGCGGTTTGTATAGCAGCTTTTTCGGTAGCTTATTTGGGATGATTCAAGTACTCTCCCAGGTGGCTATAGATACATTGCAATAATACAGGTTTATCTATATTAAATATAATCAGACCTATGTAGCACTTCCATTTGTAAATATCTACTAGACTGGATAAAAAGTCCAAAAAGAAGAGATAACATATGTTGGATTAGAGTTCAAATATATATCATACATTGATTTTATTGTTATACAGCCTTGGCTGTTCCCCTACAATTCCTTTTTAAACATCAATCTTTGTACTAAAATATTCCGTCATGATTTGTGGACATTAAGCTCTAAAGAGAAGTGAAAGGGGGGAGTTAGAGTAAAAAAAGAAAAAAGCATGCCCAGGAGAAGGCCAGTGGCTGGAGGTTGGAGGGGACACATAAAATTGGTAACAGATTTTACGATTTGATCTTTTCATAAGAAACTAAAGACAAACACTGTTTAGATTGCGGCCATCTTCCTGGTTTTATTCCATATTCTATGAAGACCTCTCCAGTCCAAATGCAGTATTATATTTATTTTTCAGTACGATAATTTCAACACATCTTGACTCAAACAGCATTCAAATTTGGTGTTCATCAAATAACCAATTTATTTTCTTATAATATCTTACTCTTCTTTCTTTAGATCTGAATCAGATCTTATGCTAATCGTCTGTTCTGAGAGCATTGCGTAGACTCCTCCAGAACTCCGGTCTCCTCTCTTCGTCCTGAGGCCACTCCAGATAGGTTGTGGAGCTCATGAGCTTGCGAAGTTTGCAGAAACGTTTGGGTATGTCGTCTTTGCGCAAGGGCTCCAGCAGGATCAAGATGGCAGCATCTCCACGAGCTTCAAACAACCAGAAGTGGGAGAAGTCCAGTTCATATCGGCACCAGTCAGACTGGATGAAGTTCTGGGAGAGGACAAAGACAGTATGATGGCTGCGTTCAATGGAACTCATAATATTGTCCATTATCCAGTGTCCGGGAAGGAAGTCCCGCTTGTGGAGACAGAGAGTCAGTGGGGATGCTAGATCTGTTGAGTCGCTGTAACAGAATAAAAAAATGAAGTTAGATTATTGTTCAGTTTTTGTCCATTATTCCTAATATGCTTTAGACAAAAGTTCTTAAAATAACTAGTATATATATCACCAAATTAACATCTTTATAGTCTTAAATGTATTCTCTTCATGACAACGCAAATCATGCCTATTTTTGGGTGGAGGATATACAAATATACCACCCAAAAAACAATGGATCAAACCTTAAAGTGATTGGGGGAGCATTTTTTTGCATCAGCAGATTCATGTTTTTTTGTTTTTTTTACAACCACTCTAAACTATCAGTAGCACAAGCAATTTACTCATTTAAAAAGGGTCCAGGTTTGCACATCTATTGAGCATACACCATTGCTAAAACCCATTCAGTTAAGATGTGATGTGGCAAAGCACGGTGAAAACCGATCGGCACTAACAAATCTATGCCAACAGAATCTTACGTTCATGAACCTTACAGTTAAGGAAGCATTGCAGCAAACGAAGACGTTACCTTGGCTCCTCCAACTCAGGTACCAGAAAGTTTTCCACCCAGCTAGCATCTCTTTCACTGTAGGAAATAAAGGCATCAAAGGATACCAATGCTCCTGTCCCCTCAATTTCTCTTTGTCGCCGATGTCGCTGGTAATCTCTTTTTGCCTTGAGCCATGCCCAAGACATCTTCAGGTACCAGAAGGCATGACATCGCCAAAGTAGGACAGAAACCAGCATCCCCCAAAAAAGGGCGACCCCACAGCTGACAGACACAAACAGAACTGTGTGGCATTGGATAATAGGGAGGGTAACTCGGTCTACTGCATCTCCCTGCAGGTTAACAGGTGAGTCACAGACATAACTTTGGTCTCCATCTGTTATCTTCACACCCCTACTTCCAGCAAGTAGCGAGCGGAGAAAGGTGACAAATCCACATGAACAGACAAACTTGTTGTGACCCGCCTCCAGGTTCTCAAGTCGTCTGTATGACTGAAGGTCCGAAAGGCTGAAGACATTGAGTGTATTTGACTGTCAAAGTATAAACGAAAGTTAGGGCAGCCTGGATAACAAAGAGGAAACAGAATATGGCATATAGGATTGCCTCTTACCTGTATTTTAAGTGTTTGCAGATTGGGGTAGTACCCCCCTGCTGGTAACCTCAGGAACTTGTTTCCAGAGAGGTGAAGCTCTCTCAGAATTGGCAGTTCCAGCACAAATTCTTTCAGGTTATTATAGCTCATGTCCAACACCTTTAAACGAGTAAGTATGAAATAAAGACAATGTATATTTCCAATAGGGCAGTTTACTTTCCTTGATCAAGTCTCTTTACCTCCAGAGACTTTGGCAGACAGGGTGTGATGGTGGTTAGCTTAGC